TTCTGTCTCTCCGTCTATGGGTTATGGCACATAATGAACTGCGCTGCAAGTCCTGGAATAGGAGAGAGGCTCTAAGATCATGACGACCATGCGGTGGTTGCAACTACAAAATTTCCACAAACGCTCTCTTTAAACTACTTGGGCATACTGGATAAAACCCTACGCTTTTAAGATACAAGAGCATGTTAGATGGCTCTCTACAGTTTTAAGGACGCGATCAGACATAGTGGGAAGACGTTTTCTCTAGACTCCCGCCCGCAGTGATTACTTTAACTTAAGTGTCAAAAATTTAAATAAAAAAATACCAAACTAAAAGTGAAAGCCATCGCCATGAATAAAGACCTTCCAAACATGGACCATAAGGGATATGACTTTGAAAAAAAATCATAGCTTAAGTGGCAAAATTGGATCGTTATTTTTGATTTTTATTTATTCGAACATACCATAACCGTTATTTTCAGACTAAGTCTTTTAAATATATCATAAAGGACGCAGTCGTAAGAATGCAGTCTCCTTTACACCGATTATAAATCCTCACAAAAAAATACAAATCCAAAATTACGATTATTTGGGATCGAAAAAAAAAAATTTTACGATAACGATAAAATTTGGCCGAAACAATGAAAACTTCAATTTAAACGATTATTAGATATATATCGACAAAAAAAAGACATAGCGATTTGAATTATCTAAAAATAAAAATCCCGGTATTTACTGGTCATTTTGGACTCTTGCTTCAAACACCTTCGACAGTATTACAATCTTTAAGTTTCAAATCATTATCTGTTTAGTTAATTTTACAAATTGCAATACTGCATAAATAATAAAATTTAAAATTTATGTAGGTGGCAACCTTATAACATTACGAAATAATAAAAAGGTACTTAAATAAGTGTAACATGAAACAACACTTTTCACTATCTACTTACTTCGCCACCAGCAGAATCACCGATTGCTGCTCCACATCCGTACGCGCTTCCTTCTCCAGCCAGCGCTTAAAATTCTCCTTCGTGGGCTTCTTAACTAGCGTCTTTATTAGGTCGCCACCCAGAAATTTCACTTCCTTATCGTCCACTGACGTCTCACGTTCACTGCGTCTTTCGTTGCTACTACTACTACCTGCCGCATTGGTAGGTGGCTGCGCTTCCACTGGCGCCAAAACCACGACACTCACCACCTTCTTGCCACGCAGTTCTTCATTGTCCGGCAGTGGGAACTGAGCACCATTAATTTTCAACGGCAGGTAGCGATTATACTGCCTCTCTGCCGCCAAGTCCACTGGTGGCACCACAGTCGCATCCGACTTAATATACTTTTCCGAAACACGTTTCTCATTATCTGCATCAAAGTGTACCACTTTCACGTCCACACCCTGTTTATGTGGCAATGCATTTGATTCCTTAACGCGCTCGATATCCTTTTCGCTTAGCGCCACCTTGTCACCATTTGGCTTTACGACGGTAACGACCTTCTTGGATGCAGAGATTTGTGCGGCACCACCCGCACCATAGAAGTGCTGCAAGTGTTCGGCGGGCAGATTCTCCAACGCCACGTCGCCTACCTTATCATAGTCCAACACGGAAATATCTGCATTATTAAGTATGCCCGATGAGAGTAGCTGTTGGCGCAAATCATCAGGCACTTCATCGGGCAGCTGTAGTAGTGTTTGTGAAGCCTTTGTGCTCTTCACCTCATTTAGCGTGGGTTGTGCGTTCTGCTCAGCGTTGCTACTGCTTGCCGTGGAAGAGGCTTGACCATAGCTGCTGCTGCTAGTGGATTGGGTAGTTGGCAGATAGGGTTTATCATTACCAGAAGCCACTTGTGCTCCAAAGCTGAACTGGCTTACTGGAGTTTTATCCTCGCTGCGGCGTTGTTCGAGTTGTTTAAAGACATCCGAGTGTAAGGTAGAGACGCTAAATTGTGGTGAACTACCCGCAGCAGTATTGGGTAGAGATGAGGAAATAAGACTACCAGCGGTCTGCCGTGGTTGTTGTGCATAGCTCGTGGTCTGACTGGCTAGCACATGTGTGGCACCAGTTTGTTGAGGAAACTGGCTAGAGTGGTACTGATTATACGCATTCGGTGGCATGGGTGTGACAATCATGACCTTCTCTCCATCCGTAGTTTGGGCGTACTGAGGCGGAGCTGGCGTCGTGGTGCTGTAGCCGTTTCGGGGACTGTTATGTGCGGTCACAAAGTTGCTAAAATGTTGTTGCTCTTGCGGTGCTTGTGCCTGACTTTGTGAAGTATGCTGAGATGCAGTGCTGATGTAGTGACCGCTTGAGGAAACTGCCGAAGAGCCAGCATTGCCGCTTGTATAATGATTGTGTTGCTGTTGTTGGCTTGAATAGGATTGTTGTGCGTGATTTGGCGCAGGTGTGGGTCCCAACTGCGGCGCCGGTATGTCGTGCAACACCTGATTCTGTGAGTGGAAGCCAAAACTGCCAAAGCCGTTGTATTGTCCGCCGCCAATTGGTGTCTCGATAGTTTCCGTGATATGTTGCTCGTATTTCGGTATGGATTTAAGAAGCTCAGTTTCCTTTGAAGGCTCTGCGCCAAAGTAGTTGTGCAGCGACTTAATTGGATCGGATGAATGCAGTGAAGCGGCGGTGGGGCCATTAGCAACAGATGAGCTAATTTGTTGACTCTGGAAGGCTTGTTTTTGACTTTGTTGGGTCTTCTGCTGAGTGTGATAAGATTGTTGGTGCGATGGCTGTTGCAATTGTTGTTGCGATTGCTGTTGCGACTGATGTGCCTGTGGCTGCTG